AAAGTAAAAATTTTTTTAAAAATTTAAAGCCCAGGTTGTACTGCACTCAGTGTTTCCCATCCAAATATTTCCAAGGTCCCCTTACTGACTGGATGTGGACCTGCCCTCCATGAGCCTGTTACTGACTGGATGTGGACCTGCCCTCCATGAGCCTGTCCAGCTGACACTCAGGCCAGCTTTGGTCAAAGGAGGCTTCCTCCCTGTCTGATGAAGTCACTGGGTTTCAGTTTCCCCTTCCAACCCTCCTCCAGAATGACTGGTACAAAGTGCAACAGAAGGTGCCAGGCAGGCCACGGTGAGGTCCCTGGGACTCAGTGTGGCCAGGAGCCTGGGAGCCTTTCCTACCCTAGTCAGCTAAAACGAGGAAGGCTGGGTTCAGGGCAGGGGTGACTGCTCAGGAGACTGGGGTTGTTTGGTCATCACATTTTTACTTGTCCACCAAGCAGAAGCCACAGTTTCCCTTTTGAGATGGGGTGTTGTCGACAATGACCAGGAATTAAGCTCCACGAACATGCTTTCCCCAGTAGGCACAGGAACAGACTTCAGTTCCCAGGCTATCCTCCCACTGGGCTCCAGCACCCATCAGCATTGTTGATTGTAATTCCTGCCCCACACTCCAGGAGCTCAGAACTTGCAAGGGACGCAGGGACACTGCGTTCTCCCACACTGGTCACAGCAGGCTGGGATTCAGGGAGGAGTTTAGATACAGGCTCTGGTTAGGCGCTTGTGTATCCATGCTGTCTTTGCTACCTCTCAGCAGATGACCCTGGGCAAGATACTTCGGTCCTCTGGGCCTGGTGTTTTTCATCTGTAAAAGGAGGACAGTGATAGTACCTATGGTGTGGGATGATTATAATGGTTAAAGAGCCCTGGACAGGGCCTGGGAAACCTGAGCAGCAACTATTTCTTAGTGCTAGGTGCTGTTCTAGGACAAGGAAATGCCATGAGCAAAAAAGACATGACTGTCCTCCCAAAGCTTCCAGGGAGACGGGCACACATCGAGCAGGATCAGGACTTGGTGCTCTGAAATCCTGGGGTAGGGGTGCAGTGATCTGGGAAGGCTTGAGCAGGCACTGAAGTAGGGGCTGGTGAGTAAGTGGCAGTTGTTGATTACAAGGGAAAAAAGGTGCCCCAGGCAGAGGAACACAAGCTATAGACCACAGAGTCAAATCTAGCCTGCCACCTGTTCTTGTAAATAAAGTTTTATTAAAGCATGGCACATCCATTTGTTGACATGCCATAGCTGCTGTTATGACTTAACAGAGCCACAAAACAGTAAAGATTTACTGTCTGGTCCTCTCCAGAAAAAGCCCTCTTGTAGGTAAAGAGTTGCCCTCTGGGAGTTCACTCCAGTAATTCCAGGATGGGCTGCCAGACCCTTCCAGAGAGTCCTCCACAGAGGTCTGGAAATGCAGGAAGGAACCATGTTTGGAAAGGAACCATGGTTGGTAGCTCTGAGAAGCAGAGTGGTCAGACACTAGGAAGCTGACCCCCATGGACCCCAGAAAAAGAGAAGGCAATAACTGTCAGTATACAGAGTGTCCATAAAGTCCTTGCTCCCTCCAAAATCTGTTTCCTAATTATAAAGTAAACGTAGGGCTGAGAGTAATACATCTCCGTGGCAGAAGGCTAGCACGTGCCAGGGCCCTGGGTTCAATCAGTAGGACCTAAAAAAAATAAAGGAAAACAAATGAGCATGACGTCATTCTGGGTATTTTTTTAAAATCTATATAAAAAAGTGAAGGCGGACAAAGGGAAGGGCTGCCGAGCTGCTTCTCAGGGACAGCCACGTGAGCTCACTATCCAGTCAAGGCCTCAGCGACCACAGCAATTGAGCTTGCTGTTTACAGGTCTGTGTCCTGCTCTTCCCTTGAGGGATGGGACATGCTTCGCAGGCCTCTCTCTCTCTCTCTCTCTCTCTCTCTCTCTCTCTCCTCTCTCTTCCCCTCTTTCTCATTTGTTTTGAAGTTGGGGCTCACTATGTAGTTTCTCTCCTGGAACTCCCTACAAAGACCAGGCTGTCCTCAAACAGAAATGCATCTGCATCTGCCTCCCAAGCGCTGGGATTAAAGGTGCGCACCACCATGCCTGACCATGTTTGTTCATTTTTTGACACAGAGCCTTGACTGGCCTTGATCCTGACTGGCCTGGGCCTCTATCTATAGTTCCAACTGAACTTGAACTTGCTGTAATCCCCCTGCTTTAGCCTGCAGAGTGCTAAAATGACAAGCATGTGCTACCACACCCAGCTCCTCAAATCTCTTATGCAAATGGCCATGGCTGCAGTCTGGGAAGGGTTTTGAATCTTTCCAGGCTCCATTTCTAAGAAGCAGAACAAAGGCTGGTGGCACAGGCCTGCAGTCCTACCTTCGTGGGCAGTAGGATCATGAGTTCCAGGATTGCCTGGGCCGCAGAGTGAGTTCAAAGCCAGCCTTGGGAATTTAGCGAGGCCCTGCCTCAGCCGAAGGCCTGGGAGGGAGAGTGCTTGTCAGCATGCGTGATTGGTGTCAGTGATGCCTGTGCACTTTGACTGCCCACTAGCCTGCAAGTGTGTGAAAAGGTGGACTGAGACATAAGGAAACGTGTCTGGAAGGTTTATTTAAACGATGATTCATAAATCGTGAGGCTCCAGGGTTGAGACAATGGCTAGAGGCATTTGCCAACAAGCCTTACAGCCTGAGTTCAAACCCTAGGACCCAGAGGGCTCTAGAAAGCTGTCCTCTGACCTGTACACACACATACACACACACACACACACACACACACACACACACACACACACACACTAAAAAGTAATAAATAAGAAGTTTAAAGCTAGGCAAGGTTCACGAGCCTTCAAAGGGCACTTGGGAGACACAAAAGGAAAGCAAAGATCTGATTGGTTTGGGAAATTGAGTATAACTGTATTGGCTGCTTCTGATCGCTTGAGTCTTTAAGTATCTCCAAGAAGTGTTAAAGCTGTGCTTGGGTCTGTTTGCAAATCAAGCAGGGCCCGTCCGTCCGTGACCACCTGTCTGTCTGCTCACGGTCCTTAGATCTGCCTCCTTTTAGATTCGCTTTAACGAGCATGAATAAAATTTGTAGTGGCTTCGTCATACTCTACCAAGGGACCAAGGGACCAAGGGACAGGTTTCCCTGGTGTGAGACTTGGGTATTACCCCAAAGGTTCTCTCCTATCGAGTACCATTGCTCTGTCCCTGAGGGCCGTGGGGTCATTCCTAGAGGCACAAAAACAGGCTCACTGTGAGCGCCTGCCCTGCAGGTGGCAGGCGCAGGAGGATGTGGCCTGGTGCTCCCACCGAAAGCATGAACTAAAACCCACGTGTCTGTGTGCGCCTCCAGAAAGCAGGTCTCCCTGCTTGATGGACCTTGACCGGTCTGAAGGGCCACTGTCTCCGTCACATAAGCGGGCTGGGGTGAAGTGGTGTGGCAGAGCACTTGCCGGCGATGCTAGGGTAAAGAACAGTCCTGATTCCTCTCCATGCTGTTCACGGAACAGTCCAGATCTGAGTCCTTTTGCTGCAGGTGACCTGTCCAGGCAGGATCAGCCTTGGGCCCCAGCGCCAGCTTCCTAAGGTGGCTGAAAGGTCCTGTTCTGGCTGACCAGAGCCTTGAGTCTGTCTGTCTGTCTTGTGTGTTGTTGTTTGCTTGCTTGCTTTATTTTAAACATTTTTTAAAATTTCATGTAGTTGTGTTTTATGCATATCCGTGGACACTCACTCAAACCATGGTATGTTTGAGAGAGATGGAATAACTTTCAAGGCTTCAGCTCTACTGGGTAGATTCCAGGACTTGAACTCCGGTTATCAGGGTTTGACAGCAAGCACCTTTATATGCTGAGCCATCTTGTCAGCTCTGTTCTGTTTGTTTGGTAGGTTGGTTGGTTGGTTGGTTGGTTGGTTGGTTGGTTGGTTGGTTGGTTCAAGACAGGGTTTGTCTGTGTAGTCTTATGTGTAAGGCAGGGTATAGCCTTTTTCTCTCTACGAGGCTTGAGCAAAACTGCAGGGCAGACCCCAAAGGCTAACCCCTTTCTCCACTTCCAGATTTGTGCTGTGCAGGCCTCTCCTCCAACCTTTGCCTGTGCTGCGCTGTCAGCTCTCACCTGTAGCGTCACCTCTCCCCCCAGCTCACCCTGGAGTGACATGTTTCCTGCGGGGTGTGTGGAAACGATCTACTGACCTGTTTGCCGGCTGGCCTCACCATCCCACGAAGACCCACAAGGGGGACAGCATGACAGCGGGGCTGGTTGTCCACCCTGAGATGTAGGGTTGGCTGAAGACACACGTGAGGGAGAAGAAATCCACTGGGCAATTGGGGACCTCACTGCCCAGGGGGTTCTTGATGGCTGAATTAGTCATGGAGTAGTTAAGACAGGGTCTTACTCCTTAGCCTAGACTAGCCTCACGCACATGGCACTCTTCCTGCCTTGGCCTCTCCAGTACCAGGATGAGAAGTGAGAGCCACCGCACCTGGTGGTGAGAGGAAAAGCATCATATTGCCTAGGAGAAAGGATCCTGAGGCCAAGCTGAGATGTGGAGAGGAATCAGGGTACACGCATGGGTGGGCACACACACAGAGCAGGAAAATAACGAAAGTTATTCTATGCACAAGCCCTAAGAGGTGGGTGCTTTACAGTTCCTACTCCTCTGCTTCCTATTCTACAACTTGAATGGAGCTGAGACCTGCTCTCCTTCTCCTCTGGCCTGGGCCTCCCATGGCAGAGGTCTTTCTGGCTGCCACTCCATCGCCCAGGGAGTAAAGTTGTGATTCCTCTCTCTGACTTCCCCCCCCCCCAGAGGCCTGTCAGGTCCCATACCTTCCTTGTATCTTCAGGAGTGGTATCGGGCCCAGCCTATCGCTGTCACACTGCCCACCCGACTTTAATCAGGCTTGTCACCAAAGCTGTCACAAACAAGGGGGTGTGGGATGTCACGTGACCCGCCTGAGTAACCACATTCTCGCTTCCTTCTTCCACACCCTGCCGTTGGGGGTTAGCGGATTGGGACCACACAAGTGTCTGGCAGTGTGGGCTGGAGCCTTGTCACTGAGGCAGAGCCATTTCTGGGCCCGAGGCAGCTGCTCCATGCTCTGCTGAACACAGTAAGTTCTGGTTTGCAAAACCATGGGGAGTGGCCAGGGGGGGCCCCAAGGGACAAGAAGCCTGTCTTCCCATTGTTAGCACACGGGGCAGGACCTGGGCCCTTCTGAGGCGGTGACACTCCAAACCAAGGTCTCTGAGGAGACTGGGGCTTCTCCAGCCTTAGCTATGGGTCTCTCCTGATAATGCCCAACTACTGTAAGCTTACCAGGCCGCGGCTGCTGCCTTCCCCTCTCTAAACTGAGGCTCAGGGGAGCCCTGGCCCTCTCCCTAGAAACTGTCCCACCCTCTCTTTTCACCAGTGCATGAGACTGAGTCTGGGAGGGTCCAAAAGGACAGTGCGGTGTTTGTCTTGAGGTTATTAATACATGAAAATATTCTTTGGTATCCTCTCTCTCTCTCTCTGTGTGTGTGTGTGTGTGTGTGTGTGTGTGTGTGTGTTTGTGTGTGTGTCTGTCTGTCTTTCAACTTAGACATGGTCCATTACACTGGCCTGGAACTCTATGTAGCCTAAGCTAGCCTCTTGCCTTGGCCTAGTGGCTTGGGTTACAGGCACAGAGCACCATACCAGCCTTCTTTGATCACTTAAACTTCATTATTATTATTATTATTATTATTATTATTATTATTATTATTATTATTATTTGTGTGTGCACATGAAATTGTGTGCATGAGCAGGCACGCGTGTCATGCAGCATGTGTGGAGGTCAGAGGGTAACTTGACCTCAGTTCCCTTCTCCCACTGTGGTTCTGGGAACAGAACTCATGTTGGCTTTCCTTGCACTTTTCTGCTCCAAGCCATCTAGCCCACCCTGACATTATTATTATTATTATTATTATTATTATTATTATTATTAATTAAATCAGGTTGAGAAAACAGTACTCTGTTCATGGGAAATTGTTTTTAAGTTGGCCTTATCTTTAAAAAGTTTTACGCCTACACCTGTTTTGGTTACATGTATGTCTGTGCATCGTGTGTGTGTAGTGCCTCGTAGGCCAAAAGATGGTGTTGGGTCCCTTGGAACCAGAGTGAAAGGTGGCTTTAAGCCTCCCTGTGGGTGCTGGAGATCACACCCGGTCCTCTGGAAGAGCAGCCAATGCAATGTTCTTAGCTGCTGAGCCATCTCTCCGGGCTCGGTGTTTCGAGACAATCTCATGTAGCCAAGGCTGGCCTCAAGCTTCCTAGGGAGCCAAGGATAACCTTGAGTTCTGTGTCTCTGTGTCTCAAGTGCCATGATCGCAGGCAGGTACCTCTGCCATGCTTGCTTCATCGATTCCGGGAATCAAAATCAGAGCTCAGGCATGCTGGGAGAACACACTGCCTGCTGGCCTCACCCCTAGTCTGTTCTTAGGAGTTTGTACCTGGGTTCTAATGGAAACTGGCGGGGGCTGAAGGCCCAAGCAGAGCCCAGCCCCCACACCTGCAGATTTGTGCTGTCTTTGCTGAGTGAAGTTGGGATTGGAGCCTAGGCTCTTTTGCAAGCTTGGCGAGTGCTCTGCCTGCCCCTGCACATCCTCTAGCCCTTCACCCTGTGGGTGGAGATGCGCTCCTGGTGCCTGCATTTCTCTGGGTTTTGGTTTTGTTTTTTGTTTTTGCTGGCCCCATTTTACCTCCTTTTCCCATAACGAAGTTCCATCTGCAACGGCCTGGCCTCTTGGTGGCCAAGGGTTAGGGAGGTGGCACTTCTGGGTGCCTCTGTTGGTACCACACCCTGTGGGGGAGGCTCCTTCCTTACCAGCTTGGCCAATAGCCAGAGAGCCGAAACTTGGAAACAGAAGGGACAGGGCCACCCAGCCAAGCTCTCTCGAAGACCTGGGTTGGGTCCCCAGGGCTTTGGGGTCACCTGGGTGCACCTGGTGGATGGCGCTGCCATTTACAGGTGGATAGACTGGGCTCTGAGGGGAAGGGCAGCTACATACAGCATCAGGACAAGAAGGCACTGGGTTAGGATGCAACACAGCCTTCTGGGTGCAGCACCCTGGGCTCCTGGGGACCAGGTCTCTCCATCCCCTTTGCTGCATAGAGCAGGAGGCAGGGAGTAGACCAACACACAGGAAGGAGAGACCACAGCTGGCTGGGCTGTGCGCTGTTCATGCTTCTTTAGAATACGGGGGCGGGGGGGAGTTCTCCTTGAATTAATTTGTGCTAAGCCTCACCCCTCATTTTCTCTAGCCAATGTCCTGGGCCTCCAATAAGCCAAACTTGGTTCCTGGGGTTAAGGAGCCCCCACATTTTCTAACACCGTGCTTGTGGCCTTGCAAGGGGCCACGGGATGTACATTAGACACAATAGGGTGTCTAGTAGTGAAAATTCACAGGGACCAGGAGTGGGCAAGCACGCCTTTAATCCTGGCGTTTTCTGGAAGCAGAGGCAGGTAGACCTCTATGAGTTTGAGGCCAGTCTGGTCAACATAATAAGTTCCAGGTCAGTCAGGGCCACATAGTGAGACTATGTTTCAAAATAAATGAATGAATGAATGACAGGGCCTGAGTGTCCAGACACACAGCTCTAATCTCAGCACTCAGGAGGCAGAGGCAAAGGCAGAAGACTCAGTAATTCAAGGCCATTTGGGGCTACAGAGTCAAGTGTAGGCCAGCCTGGACTACATGAGACTGTCTTAGAAGAGATGAAAAGTTCACGGGGTGGGAATGGGAATTGTCCTTCATAGGTTGACAAAAAAAAAAAAAAGTGGGACGTGCCAATTGAGAACTACAATACAAAGAAGCCAGAGACAGCATGTCTGTTTGTCTGTGTAGTTCTGGGGGTTCAGAATCCCCCTGCCTGGGGACGTCAGGCCTGTTGATGCTGGGGACCACAGAGTCCCTGCCTTCCATGAGCTTGTAGGCATAGGGCAGATTGTCACAGTACCCGTGAACCTACGGGACAAGAGTCACGGGCGGTGAGTGCAAAGATCCCAGCTGTGTGCCTGCCGGTTGCTGGATCCTGGGCATCAGGCACAGTCCGTGGGTGGCCGTGATGCTGAGCTTAGGGAGCTCACAGGTTACCCTGGCTGGAGTTTTAAGAAACTAGCTTCGGGAAGATTTATGGAACGGAAGATGCTGGGCCAAACCGGAAATGATCTGAAAGGCTGATGTGGGCTTAGATGGGCTCTGCAGAGGGATTCTGCCTCGAGTCCCTGCTCCTGGCTACCTGGCCGCAGGCAGGGCTCTAGGTGTGCGACTCCAGGTGCCCAGTGGACCTCAGAATGATGGTTCTCATCTCCTAATAGAGGATGAGCCAAGGATTCAGACAGCTCCTAGGGCGGTGTCCGGCACACGGGCCGCACTCGGTACATATGACTCATCAGCCCGAGGAGGCTGAGACTGAGGGTGTCGTCCAGGTCCTGCCACAGAGACCAACTTCTGGGACCTCAGTCTCTAAGGAAGCCAAAAGCCAGTCACAGCCTGCCCCAAGACTGGGGATTTCCCAGGACAGGGCAGTGGTTAACAGGGAGCTCCTTGCCCTAAATGCAAAATTGAAGATTGTGACAATGAGCCATGCGTGATTTTAGTAACAGCACTTATGAGGCAGAGGCCTTTGGATCTCTGTGAGTTCAAGACCAGCCTGGTCTATATAATGAGTTTCCAGACTAGCCAGGGCCACTTAGTAAAACCCTGTTTTAAAATTATGATGATGATGATGATGAGGAGGAGAACTAGCTCTTATTGAACATTTACTGCTGAACACCCCTGGAGGACCACCCCTCACTCACCCTCCGCAGCCCCACAAGGAGTGGGTTCTCTTGCCCCTGCACACACTGACCTCTGCAACGTCATGATTTGTGATGCTTTGCCCTCTTGGTGATACGAGAGTGATGGCCATTCTAGAGAACCCACACTTTCGGTTTTGAGTTTGACCTAGCCTGGGCTATGGACTCTAACCCGCTAGAGGCTTGTGCTGGACACTGTCGCTCAGCTGCAGGCCAGGGTGAGCGGTCCCTGAACATTTTAGGTGGGCCTGGCCACTCTGTAATGTTTGTCGGGTCCAGTGTGCTGTATTTCTCACATGCTCATGCTGCCGTGGGTGTGCAGGGACTAAGCCCTGTGCTGATCTGAGGCACCACTCTGCTGCAGATGGAATAGCCAGGGCTCAGACAGGTGGCTTGAGTTGAGACAGAACTGTGATGGGCTGTTTGAGCTGACTCTCCAAGCTCTATCCCGTCCACTGGGATAGTGACCCCTCGTGGGGCCTGGGGTGCCTGTGCCTCAGTCTGCCCTGGTTGCTGGTCTAGGCTTTGCCTCCCTTGGAGTCTGAGACTCTGAGGTGATGTGCAGGGACCCAAGGGGGGAGGGTCCTAGCGTCATAGAGGAATGAGACCCCTAGAAGCCTGTCCTTTATAAACCCCGGGGGTTAGGGAAGGTAGCTACTTGTTTGGGGTGAAGGATAGGAAACAGGCAAGCACCAAGACAGATCGGATGTGGCTCTCATCACCTATTTGGAGCTGGGCCCAGCCCCACTCTTGTTTTCCTGTCATCTGAGGAGGGGCAGGGTGAGCCATCCCTCCAAGGCTTGCTCTCCTCATCTGTATCACGGGGTCCCTGAGACCTGGTGCTTCCCTGGGAGGAGGTGGGGGTTTCGTCCAGAGAAGACCCCACCCACAGTCAGGGTGTGACGGGGGCTTGGCGGAAGTCACTTTCCCAGCGGAGCACCTGGAGGGAGGACTCCCGCTGAAGCAGCTGGTTCCATCCTTGCCGAGGACACATGCTCCAGGCTGCGATGCTCCAGGGCTGTGGAGAGGGATACTGATGGCAGGAGCTGGCTGGAGTGGCCAGTGGTCTGGGTTAGTCACAGACTGAGGGATGTCTGTGATGTACAACTTCCGGGGCAAGCTGGCCACTCTGGACTGACCCAGGCAGGGAGATTTGGGCTCTCCCAGGGAACCCATCTCATTCTTTTCCTGTGCCGAGCAAGTGTCCTACCACTGAGGCACACCCCCAGCCAAGGAGGCACATCCCAGCTCTTGCTTTATTTATCTACTTATTTATTTACTTTTACACCTGAACTTGGGTTCTCCTGCCTCTGTCTCCCAAGCGCTGGGATTACAGCTATGTGTCTGCAAGGCTGGCCATATTTTTAAAAAAGAAATTAGCTTAATTGTTGTCTTTACTTATGTATTTATTTATGTGAGACAGGGTCCTGCTGCATTGTCCAGGCTGGTCTCAAACTCCTGGGCTGCACAGATCCTCCCAGTAGCTGAGCTGCCAGGAGCCTCCGCCCTGCAGCTTCCCACAGCAGGGAAGGGCGCTCTGTTCCCCAGCAATCTCAACAGTGTTCATCTCCAGGGCCCCCGGAGTCTGAGGCCTCCCTGCTTCCCCACAGAAAGTGTCCCCTCTCCGTCTCTTCCCTTCAGAGGCCAACATCAAGGGCCGTCCACAGCCTGTCTTTGAAGCAATGTCACAGATTTTACATATGGGGCAGCCGAGGGTTAGCGAGGGTGCTCAGAGTCACACAACTGCTGTGGGCTTCATGTGGGCCCCGGGCCAGGCCCATCCTCACCCCCAGGCTGCCTGTGCGCACGCGGAGGGGATTGTGAGTAGGACAGAGGGCTGCTTATGGAGACAGTCCTTTAGGGCTCCTGACCCTCAGACTCTCAGCCCCTCCAAGCTGCCTTTGCCCACAGGAACTGCTGGGCTAGCCTTGGTAGTGGTCCCCACCCCCTTCTTTCAGGAAGTGGTTGAGTCTGTGCCTTCCAGGAACCAAGGGGCGTTAGTGAGTGTGCGCTGTTGCTGTTGGTGGCGTAAGGATGACTTGTACCTCGGCACCTGTGGCTTTTTCCTGCCTTGTCCTTCCCCACAGGAGAGTGGGGCTGAGGCGGGGCCCTGTATTCCTGCCCTAAGGAGGAACCCTGCTCAGAGAGGGAAGGGCCAGAGGTCTCAGAGCTTCTAAGATGCAGCCTTTGAAACCCGGTCCCGCTCCACACCACAGTCCGTCCGCCCTTTCTAGCATCTTCATGGTTTGTGGTTTCTGAATAATGGGGGAGGGGAGCTCTTTCCCCAGTCAGGATTCAAGCTCCCAACCAGTCCCACAGGCCTGAGCTGAGCCCTCCGCCAGCGTCTGTGCCCCTTCTCTAGGGCTGTGTTCTCTGGAAAGCCTCCTCTGGTCTGGACTGGGCCACTCCCTCCTAGGAGTCTCTGGGCAAGCTGCTCAGTGTCTCTGACCCTGTTCCCACCTCTGTAATGGAGGTAAATGTCCATGCAGGTACCACAAAGTTTGTTTTCACCTTTTTTTTTTTTTTTTTTTAAAGAAGATGTGATCAAGCTGGGCATTATGGTGCACGCCTTCAATCCCAGTACTTGGGAGGCAGAGGCAGGCAGATCTCTGCGAGTTCGAGGCCAGCCTGGTCTACAAAATGAGTCCAGAGAGGAGTCCACGGGTTAGCGTCATCCTGTCCCTCCCTCCTGTCAATCGCTCCAAGTGAAGGATCAGGAAAGGACAGGAAATGACAGGTGCAGATGCCATCGGCTGCAGAGACCGTGTTGGAGGAGCTGGACGGACGGGGTATTCTAAAGGATACTGTGTGCCGGGCTCCCACAGGCACCCAGACCCTGCCACTCACCACAGCCTTCCTAATGGCTGGGCTCTGACTTCTGTAGGTACTGGCCAGTGCCAGGAGGAAGTGAGGGGACAGGGAAATGACACCCTAAAGGAAAGGGGCTCCCTTGTCAGGAGGACAGTGATCCCATCCAGAGACAAGCCTGGAAGCTGAGCTCCCTCAGAGGTGAGATTCCTCCCAGACACTGAACTTGCATTGCAGTTGGTGGCTCTGGGCCCGGAGGGACTTACAGGATAAGTTGGCTGACCTTGGCTGAGAGCTTGCCAGGGCATGGCTCTCATGACAGCCTCACTGTACCTTTGAGGTGGGTCTTTTCATTCCCATTGTCCAAGCAGGGATACAAAGGGAACAGAACTAAGGAGGGATGCTGAGAAAAAGACGAATTAAGAAGAGAGATGGGTCAGTGGTTTGGAGCACGTGCTGTTCTGCCAAATGAGTTCAGTGACCAGCACCCACGTCTGGCAGCTCACAACCTCCTGTAACTCCAGCTCCAGGGGTCCTGGTGCCTCTAGCCCACGCAGGCACCTGCACTTAGGCACACATCCCTACTGTACAAGCGCATCATAGGAATAATTTAAAATACTTTAAAAACTTTTTAAAAGGTTTTTATTTTTGAGATTATAATTATATCACACTTCCCCTTTCCCTTCCCCCCCTCCAAGCCTTCCCATACACCCCTCCTTGCTCTCTTTCAAATTCAGAGCGTCTGTTTTCATTCATTGTTGTTACGTGCATACATGTACGTGTATATACATTTACTCCTAAATGTCACCTGCTCAGTCTGCGTAGTGTTACTTGCGTGTGTGTGTGTGTCTTTGGGGATGACCGTTTGGGAGTGGGGAACCGGCCAGCGTGCTCTTTCCTGGGGAGGGCTATTTCTCCCAGTTCCACATCCTTAGCTGCCTCGTGTAGGAGGTTTTCCCCCATCCACTTTGGCATGTCTATTGCCGTCATCCTTGTTCCACTCAAATATATCTTTTTTAAAAAAGAGACAAGACCCTCCAAGCCCTCTGGAGGACTGGCAAAGATTGTGAGTTGCAGGCAGGGGACAGAGAGATGGGGCGGGGGTGGGGCTGGGGGGAGTGGGCTCTTCTGCTCAGCCGCTGTATAGTGAGTGTGACGTTAGCTGGTCTCTTTACAACTTGTTTTCATGACACCGCTGTCGCTAAAACAGACACTAAAGGCTGGTGAGACGGCTCAGCTGGTGAAGGTGTCTGCTGCCAAGCCCAATGACCTGAGTTTGAATCCCTGGACCCACAGGAGAGAACTGACTGACTCCTGCAGGTTGTCTTCTGATGTCCCCCTTGTCGCACGCATGCACACAGGAGAAATAAAACACAAACAAAACCCAGACATTAAGGAGAACTAACACCAAAAAGTGAATGCTGAGGTCTGGAGAGAAGGCTCAGCCATTGTGAGCCCTGTCTGCTCTTGCAGAGGACCCGGGTTCAATTCCGAGCACCTGCAGGGTGATTCATAACCACCTGTAAGTCCAGTGCCAGGGCATCCGATGCCCTCTTCTTCTTTTTTTTTTTTTTTTTTGTTTTGTTTTTTCAAGACAGGGTTTCTCTGTGTATCCTCGACCTCACTTTGTAGACCAGACTGGCCTCAAACTCACAGAGATCTGCTGCCTCTTCCTCTCTGAGTGCTGGGATTACAGGGGTATGCCACTGCTCCCAGCTTTTTAAAAATTTTATGTATATGTAAATTTTTTTGCATGTATGTCTGTGCACCAGGAGCATGCAGTGGCCTACCTCTGCCTCCAGAGAGTTGGGATAAAAGGTGTACCACCCTGCCCCTATTTTCAGGTTTGGGGAGTGGACCTAGGGCCTCGCTCATGCCCAGTGGGCTCTCTAACCTGAGTTACAGAGTCACAGCCCCTACTTTCTTTGGGGGAGGGGTTTGAAACAGGATTTCATGTAGCCCAGGCTGGCCTCAAACTTACTATGTAGATGAGGATGACCTTGACCTCCTGACCCTCTTTGTTTCTGCCCCCCAGGTGTTGTGACTTCAGGAATGTGCCTCCAAGCCCAAACCCTTCATGCTTCTTTCTTTCCTTTTCTTTCTTTCTTTCTTTCTTTCTTTCTTTCTTTCTTTCTTTCTTTCTTTCTTTCTTTCTTTCTTTCTTTCTTCCTTCCTTCCTTCCTTCCTTCATCCTGACAAAGTTTCCCCACCCTCTTCTCCTCCCTTAATTTTTTTTTTTTTTTTGAAACAGAATCTCACTAAGTTATGCATCTTGGCCTTGATCTCAGTATGTGGCTCCGCCTACTGTAAATTTGCCACTCTTTCGCCTCAGGCTCTCAATGCTGGGATTGTAGTCATGAGCCTAGTAGAAACACAATATTCTAGGGCTAGAGAGACGGCTCAGTAATTGGCTGCTCATCCAGAGGACCAGGGTTTGATTCCCAGCACCCACATGGCAGCAAACAACTATATCTCCAGTTCCAGAGGACCCAACATCCTTCTCAGACACTGTATACACGTGGCACACAGACACCAAAGCAGGCAAAACACTCAGACATGCAAAAATAAAGTAAATAGATAAAAAATATGTATTCAGTCACTGATCATGGCAGCTTATACCTGTAATCTCAGCACTCAGAAGATTGAGGCATGTGGATCATTAGTTTGAGGACAGGCTATGGTGAGCCTCAAAAATAGAAAAAAGAGTAAATAAAATTAAAAGTAAATAAAATGTGTGGGGAAACAAAGAAAAGCAAAATATAACCCAAAAATGCTAGGGAGGTTAATGAACCCTGACGGTTGGATGGTGTTATTTGTGGGGGTAAAGCCCAAGGGACCCTTCCAGCCCAGGGTCCCACCTCCAGAGTACCTGTCCCAGACCAGCAGTCTGCCTGTGAGGCCCTCAGCGGGCAGAGGCTGACACCATCCTCACTTCTCTGCCCCTGTGTCCCCAGGTACCATGCTTCCACACTTCCTTCTGCTCCTGACCATCTTGGGCCCTGGCAACAGCCTTCAGCCTTGGGACACCCAGGAGCATGAAACCAAGGAAGCCTCAGACCCAGGCCATCTCCGGGAACGAAGACAGGTGGTTGGGGATGATGATTTTGAGGATTCAGATGACTATCACGAAGAAAACACAGACCCCCCTGAAATTATAAACATCACCAGCACGGTGTCTGCTCACCCTGAGTCTCTGATCACCCTGGCCATGCTAGAGCAGAGGGAGTCCAAGGGGGCTGGAACCTCTGAACCAGCCACTTCGCACATTGCCACCACCCGCCTTGCTGGCCCAGACACAGGAGGGCCAACTGTTGGGGTGCTGAGCACAGAATCTCACACACAGTGGAGGCCAACCACAGTGTACGTGACCAGGCAGCCAGCACTGATGGAGGCAGAGACCTCACAGCCAGCACCCAGGAAGGCAGAGACCCCGCAGCCAGCACCCACAGAGTCAGAGACATCACAGCCAGCACCCACGGAGGCAGAGACATCACAGCCAGCACTCATGGAGGCAGAGACCCCACAGCCAGTACCCAGGGAGGCAGAGACCCCGAAGCCAGCACCCAGGGAGGCAGAGACCTCACACCCAGCACCTATGGAGGCAGAGACCTCACACCCAGCACCTATGGAGGCAGAGACCTCACACCCAGCACCTATGGAAGCAGAGACCTCACACCCAGCACCCATGGAGGCAGAGACCTCGAAGCTTCCCAGGAATCAGGTTATAGAAAGCCTGTTTGCAAAGTCCACAGCCACAGAAGCCCCTTCTGCACAGCCCATTGCCACCAACACCACAGCCACAGAGTCTAATGACTCTACCAACTTCCTTGGCTCATCTGTGACTCACAGCGACAATAATGTGTCCACCGGCCACTTGCCTGACACCGGCCTGAAGAAAGGTCTGATTGTGACCCCTTCCAGTTCTCTGGTCCCCACCCCGCCAGGGACCTCGGACCTCATCCCCGTGAGGCAATGCCTACTGGCCATCCTCATCTTAGCTTCCCTGGCTACCATCTTCCTCGTGTGCACGGTGGTGCTGGCGGTCCGCCTGTCCCGAAAGAACCACATGTATCCAGTGAGGAACTACTCCCCCACTGAGATGATCTGCATCTCATCCCTGCTGCCTGAGGGGGGCGAAGGGGCCCCTGTCACGGCCAATGGGGGCCTGTCCAAGGCCCAGGACCTGAAGACAGAGCCGGGTGAGGCCAGGGATGGTGATGACCTCACCCTGCACAGCTTCCTCCCTTAGCCAGCCCTCCATGCCCATCCCACCAAGGCCACAGATCTGGGCTTCCTGGGTGAAACCCATCCACAGGGGTCTTTAGGGAAGAGACCTCAGACCAATCAGGGCTCCCTGAGCCCCCAAGGTCCTTCGGTTACTGCTTCATTCATGGGGTCTGGTGACCTCCACGCCCAGGACAATTAGAGTGACCACTCTCCACCTGTCCTCTGTTTTTTCTGGAATCCCTCCCCCCAGTGCCTCCCACTGCCTGGAGCCTTCCTGCAGGGTGGCTGGAGTCCTGTCCTCAGGACGGAGTTCCCTTACCCCCCTCCCAAAGCCATTCTCATGGTTGCCTATTGCAGGGGGAGGGCAAGGGGGGGGCTCTTTCTAAACCACCTGTAATTCCAGCCCTCAGGGAGGCAGAGGCAGGCGGATCTCTGTGAGTTCAAGGTCAGCCTGGTCTACAAAGCGAGTCCAGGATAGCCAAGGTAAACAGAGAAACCCTGACTCAAAAAAAAGAAAGAAAGAAAGAAAGAAAAGAAAGGAAGAAGAAAAGAGAAAAGCATACTGAGGGGTCTGCCAGACAGCAGCGTTTCCCAAGCCCATGTCTGAGCCTCTACCCGGTGAGGAGCAGCTTGGCTTTCCCAGGCACCTGGTGTGGAAGCATAGTCCTTCATTTGGGTCTGTGTGAACCCATGAGCTTCTGCCTGGTCACTCTGTGGCCTGGCACAGCACAGGCCCTCAATAAATGTCAGTTCCAAATGGTGGCTGCGTCCTGCACGTGCCTAGGCTGCCGTTCCCAGGCAGTTTTCCCAAAGGGCTCTTAGACCAATGTCCGTGTCGCTCTTAGACAATAGAGACTTTCAGTACATCCGTGGGCAACTGCAAGGGGGAAACTGAGGGCTTAAGCTAGATGGGGTAGCTCACACCTATGATCCCAGCACTAGAGAGGTCAAGACCCTCTGTCAGAGGTTGTTCTGATGCTTGTGCTTTAATGCTGGCCCTCAGGATCTGGTGACTGCCCGGATACACCTGTCCTTGTTGAGTAAACCTGCCTAAGACATTACACCTGATTGGTTGATTAAAGGCCTAAAACCTGGGCAGGGCAGAATGGGGTAGGATGGCTAAGCTTCCCAGGCTTTGGGTTCAAGAGAATCATGGGAAAGAGACGGCCAGGAAGAGAGGAGGAAGGGGGACGCCACCTGGGTTAGCGTGGAGAAGAAACCATGTGGGCTGGGAGGAAGGGCTTCAATAATGGCATTAAAAGGCCCAGATGAAGAATAAAGCAAGTGTCATAAGATTATGGATGGAAGACAGCCCAGATGCAGACAGTTAAGGAGGATGGCATTGGATGAGGGCTGGGAGGTGGATGGTGAGGTTATCGACACAGTGTAGGTGAAATACCTGCCCAGCCCAAGGTAAACAGGCAATTAGAAAAATCTAACAAGTACCTGTGTCTTATTATTTGATAGTGGGTTAAATAATACAGCCACAATAATTATAGGGCTAATAATAAATAGCATTATATAGCCCAAAACTCATTTTTTTTTTTTATTTACAACAACAACCATCCTTGGGCACACAGCAAGTTTGAGACTAGCCTGGGCTACATGAGACCCCGTCTCAAAGAAAACCAGAACTGGGTGTGGCTGGATGGCTCAGTGGGTAAAGGCACTTGCTGCTAAGCCTGACGACCCAAGCTCCACCAGGATCTACCTGGTGGAAGGAGAAAACTGACTCCCAAAAATCGTCCTCTGCCACCCACATTCACACCTAACAAACAAACAAGACTAAGCAAACAAATCAGAGAGCTTTATTGAGTACACCCTTACCAAGTTGGGCCAAAGGAAGTGGGTCCCTCAGTTCTCAGACACATATGCCTCTTGGTGCCCACATGCTCCTGTCCAGAAACCTCTCCTCCCCAGAGGTGCTCATCCCTGCCAGCATCTTCGAACACACTGGAAGATCCCGTGACACCAGAGTCACCTTCCAGCTGTCACTGCCCTCTGATGAGTTCGGGACTGGTTGATTACTTTAAGGCTAAGATGGTGAGTATTTAGACTGGATGTACATCACCTCTGCTGAGACTTCCCACGTTTGTTCTCTAAGGCACAGAATATGTGTGGCAAACGATGGCGTCACTGTGCTCTCTTATGAGGAGCCAGCTAAGTGGGTAAAGCCCTTGTAAAGCTGGGTGTGGTGGTTCACGCTTTTAAGCCCAGCCTGGCGACGGCAGACGCAGGTGGTCCTCTGGCCAGCTTGTCAGTCCTACCTGGCAAATTCCAGGCCAGTAAGAGACCATCTCGAAAGAAAGACAGTTCAAGGGCTGGAGAGATGGCTCAGCAGTTACGAGCACTGAATGCTCTTCCAGAGGACCCGGGTTCCATTCCCAGCTGCCATCCCCACAACTGTAACTCCTGTTCCAGGGGAGCCAACACCCTCACACAGATGTACGTGCATTCAAAACACTGATGTACCCAAAATTAAAATAAATAAATAGATTATAAGAAAGAAAGAAAGACAATTCCTGAAGAACAACCGCTGAGATTGTCCTCTGGCCTCCATGTGTGCATGTGTACCTGTATAAATACACACATGGACACACACATGCATGCACACACACACACACGCGCCTTTACAAACAGGCAGCGAGCTGGATCAGGGACTGTGAGTTGGTTGACCCCTACTTGCCCGGCACGGTGACATGGAGTCACAGTTTTGCCGGCTTTCTGACCTTGGCTTTAGAGCTTTGTTCTGAGAGCCCACTTAGACCCCAGCCAGCCAGGAGGACTGCCCATATGTGTGTGGGCCACATGTACAGTGGACACGCCCACCTCACGCCAAGCCCACGGGGACACAAAGGCATCTCGGACCACCCTAACTCTCACTCTTGTCTGGCCCCAAGTCCTGTCCAGTCATTTCCACAGACAGAAGGAGAGCGTTGCTTTGAAGCACCTTGTCTCCCGGGAGAAGCACAATATCATTTCGAGGGAAAATGCTTTTTCTCTTCCAGAAAACACTCTCTGGGTGTGACCTGCCATCTGAGGGCTCAAAGAAAAGGCTGTATCTTGGGAGAGAGGGAGCGAGCAGGACAGGAGAGCCACAGGGAACAGCAGGAAGGAACAAAGCAGGTGATGGCGCCCTCCCGCAGAGGCAGAGGAGGGAGTGGTAAGGAGGGAGTGGTGAAGAGGTACCCCAGCCCGCAGCAGCAGCATTTGGAGGTGGCGCTCTCTGCTGCTTCCCCCTGGACAGCCGGGGGAGGCCGGCTGGTGGACTGAGCAGATCCTGGGTGCCTCTCCCCTTTGGATCAGAAACAGCAGAGTGGAAGATTCACAGACCCAGCAGTTACAGGACTTGAGGGCACTGGCCCAGCTCCCCAGGGCCCTCCTCCCCTGTGAGAACAGAAGTGTGTTTTCTTGCTTGGAAGGGGCTCACGCTGCGTGAGAGAAACAGCCACCAGGGGGCACTGGCCACCTGCTCCTGGAGGATGAAGGCCGGTGGAGGAGCCAGGCAGCCTGGAGTTTTGAGTGTCTGTGTTTGGCTTTTCTGGTAAAATGTTTGCTGAACAGCCGATTATCAAAACTTGATACCTGGCCCTAGGTCAGATTCCAGATGTCTCTCGAGCACAGCTGCTCTCCCCGACTCCATCTCTGAATGCCCCTGACCATCAGGCCCTGAGTCAGCCAAGGTATCCACTCAGTAAACCCACCCGCGTCTGCAGTATCTCCTTGACCCCCTTAAAACAACCTTTGAAGAAAGCCCTCGAATGTCTTCATAGAGAGGGAAACGGAGACCAAAAAAGGAGAACTCCCAGCTCCATCCCCATCATACTGAGAATCTGGGAACCCAGGCCCTGCTCTTAACGTGATGCCTTTCTATCCTCCAGATCACAGAGGGGTTCTGGGGGAATCCTATGCCTCAGAGACTCCCCTGTCACCTAGAAGTCTCTCTTCTTGCTCCTTGAAACAGAGAAAAGACAAGGTTACTTGGACTGGACGACTGACGGAGTAGAACCCAGCCCCTCTGTAGACAGCAGGACAAGGCTGAGCTGGAGCCTAGCGCAAAGAGGGCTGGCGCTTATTCAGCACTTCCTGCATGCCTAACACTAGTCTGTATTACCCCATTATCTGTATTATCCCATTATCCCATAAATCCCTGAATTATCCCATTCAGGAACTGTGCGAAAGGGGGACGAAGATCATCATGTGCTGCTACTAGAGGCTCTGGAGCCCAGAAGTCGGGAGCGCGCAGGTTGCATTGCCAAAAATCCAGAAGAGGCAGGAAAGGGGTCAGGCGGGAGGAGAGGTGTGGCAGGAGGCGGGGTCGGGCTGGAGGTGTGGGGGCTAAGTTTATATCCACTCCTTGCCTCCACCCTGTGTCGGGGCCTGTCTCTCCCACCCACTACATGGGTTCTGACCGCTGATAAGGGCAACAGCTCAGCTTCTTCTCCCTGTCTGCCACTCGCATAAGCCTCGGGGTCTTAGAGTAGTGTGTACGAGCTGGGCCCAGGAGTGTGTGTGAGGGAAATGAACAAGGCAAGGAAAGGGTGTCCAGAAGAGGAAGAGTTGCTTCAGGGGGAGGGGAGACTGAGGATGCGGGCAGCTGAACCGGATGAACGGATGCTGTGAAGGGAAGATGGAGATGCACCTGGGAGACGCCAGCGTTAGGATGGGAGGAGCCAGCTAAGACCTCGGGGTTCTGACCGTGGGCCCATGGGAAAGGCGGTGGAGGGCAGAGGGCGGTAAAGGACTGGGATGAGGAAGGGAGGGGTCCCTGGTTGGGTTGCAGTCTTGTGGAGCGTGAAGGCCCCCTGAGGCAAATGCTGTTTGGCACCGTCAGCCGTCGGGGGAAATGCACAGGAAAGCCCCACTGAGGGTCACAGCACACCAAGAGCGAAACTAAAAAGGTCAACAGCACCCAGCTGGATGGGGAGCACTGGGGTGCTCAGCATGGTTGATGCAGTCCCAAATGGTGGTGCATCTGCTTTGGAAGCCAGTCGGCCAGATTGCCGTAAAATTCACCGCAGTCGCAGTACAGCTTGGGAATCCCAGTCCGGGGCCCGTACCCAAGAGAGTGCAGTCACAGGCTGTTCTGGGCTGTTCGCAGGCTGGCAGCGGCCAAACTCAAATTCAGCCCGTGAAGGGGCAACTGAACTGTGGTTGCCGTACGGCGGCGGAGTGGTACCCAGGATAAACAAGAGCAGATCCCAGCACATCCGCTGACGTGACGAGCTCACTCACTGAGCCACGGGAGCCAGGCACAAAGGCTGCATGGAGAATGTGGCTTCCAACGATGCCGTGTCCAGGAAGGGGCTGGAGAGATGGCTCAGCGGTTAAGAGCACTGGCTGCTCTTCCAGAGGACCTGGGTTCGGTTCCCAGCACATGGAAAGTCAGCCCCCCGGAATTCCAGCTGCCCTCTTCTCACTTCCACGGGCGCCAGGCTGCATGTGGTACGCACATGCAGGCAAAATGCTCACACACATACAAAAAGAATTTAAAAACTGAAAGTTCATGGAAGGGTGGGAGAGATGGATCTGCGTGTATGAGCACTCACAGTTATCGGGGAGGGCGTGAGTTTAGTATCCAGCACCGAATCTGGTCACTCACAACCTTCTGCAACTCAAGCTCCATGTGATGCAGCACCCTCTGCTGGCCTCCCCAGGCACTGCACTCATGCACATATGCCCATACGGAAACACACCCACAAGTATAATTAAATTTTATTTTAAATATTTTTAAAGGTTCAGAAGGGACGGGGAGAGGGATCCATGAGCGAAAGTATTTGTTGAGCAAGCTCAAGGATTGTAAAGGCCGGATGCATGCCTGGGATCCTGTCGCTCTATAGTGAGGTGGGAGGCAGAGACAAGACTCTCCCCAACTCATGGGCTCAGCACCCTGGTCAGGGCTGCTTCTGAGCCTTGGGTGGATCTGGGTGCCTCTGTGTCTGCTCATGTTTACCTGTTCAGGTGGGCGTCACCCAAAAACTCACAAGTTCTCCATGCCTCAGTTTAGGAAGGAGACGGCATCACCCTGAGACCTGGATGGGGGGTTTCTGAGGGCCTCTTTGTGCCTCCTGTTGCTTTCTGGTAACCTGGAGGGCTCTGGAGACACTAGACATAGGACCCCACCACACACACACCTGGCCCCAGACAATCAGCCTCAGTAACAGCGCTCCCTTGCTGCTGGCTTGTAGAGAGCTGCTTGTTTGTCAAGCTGCTTTGTTACTCAGTGAAAAACATGTTTTCACCCTGGCCTTCACCTTGAGACAGAGACAAGAGGATGGTTCGCCAAGCTCCTTAAAACTTGTTTGTGTGACCTTGGATCATGCCTGATACAGGGAAGTAGTTTAAGAAAACAAGTTGGGCAGTCCCACAAACTTCTTTTTTTGTATTGATGTGACTTGTTTCTGCTTTGCCTGTAAAAAGGAATTGTGGAATAAACTCAAGCGGCATTGTGACATTGCTCTCGAGTTGATCCAGTGTGTGGTGTGACTTGCTTTAATTATTTCAATCCTCTCTCCCCACTCAGGAGCTGTTTGATTCTGCCGGCAGGCTCCAGCACTGGTTAAAACTTGTTTCACTCTCCCACTGATTTTCACCCAGAGTGGGTCCTTCACTGAAGATTATCACAC